ACAGTTTTGCAACTGCAGTGCTTCCATTAAGTAAGAAATGCTATTAAAGTCACGCGTGAATACGTTTGTTCTTGCGATAAGTCATTACAAACATGGTGGCGAGGGATGTAAACACATAGCATGCTGCTACCACGACACTAGCGCTCATCATCAGAAGAGACATCGGCGTCTTTTATCAAGGCTTTCCAGCAACAAGCCCCTACTTGGGAGCGGCTACGTATGCGCTTTTTGGGAAATTGTAGTCGGTGAGTTTACTATTTTATACTACTTCTGTGATATCACTACTACTTCTACTTCCTGTTTTCTTCTTCGTCGTCTTTTTCACTAGTAGAAACAGCCGGTTGTGACTCCTGTGATGTGAAAAAAGTGTTTCCATTGCAGTTTTGCGAAATACACWAWTTTCGATACGGCCGAAAAACCACCTCGTCCTTAGCGCAAAAACATTTTGTCGAAAAAAGGAAGTTTTTACGAAATTGACGTGTTTCCATTGAGCAAATTTATTTGCGCATTTTCATGGTCAATGGAAACAGATTCTGTTGCCTTCTCTAAGAAGCAGCTTTACACAGTGGTATTCAGACAAGCTTTTATGAATTACTTAGTGTCTTATTAGCTATATTAACTTGTTTTATTGTATGTTTGTATAAATTTTAGTTTTGCTTGTTGTGAAGCACTTTGTGATGTCTATCTGTGAAAGGGGCTATATAAAGTCATTTTACTTACTGACAAATCTCCTTGATCCCAGTGATTGACTGCAAAGGAAGAAAGTGAGAGGCGTATGTGTAGTCGACAGTTGTCATAAAATAATCAAGTCTATGGCAATAATTTTGTTAATTTAGTTTTCATTAATTTATTAAATTGTGCTTTGATATTCTCTCCTACTGAGAGAGTGTTTGCTGACATAAAAAATGGGGGGCTTTTTTCCCCAGTTGTAATAAACCTGCATTAAAACATGACTTGAACATATATTTAAAACCCTATACCCAGACATGTACAAATATTCAAATGAATATGGGTATTTTATATATAGTCTAATTTAGGGCTGGGCGGTATGACCTCAAATTCATATTACGGTATAAATTGAACTCCTTCACGGTAATGGTATACAGGGGTAGACATAAGGATTTTTTTGACAACCTGTTGACAAAATCTGGTTGTCCACAAAACATTTTGGTTGTCCAAAAGAAAAAAAAATCCCAATTAAAATGTAATTTAATAGGTAGGTTATATTGTTCGGTATACAAAGTTTACTGTATACAAATGTTCTCAGTCAGCAGTTTGACAGTTTCAGGAGCTGCTTCAGTAAAACTCCTCCTCATCCTCTTCTTTGAAATAGAGATCAAAAATCAACATCCAACAACCATAAGCTTCCTGCTTACAGGACCAACATTTTAATTTAAATAGTAGTATAGCCTACTGTCTACATGACCTTGTAAGACATACGTGTTTAATATCGGCTAAAGTCAGATGAAAACACCAGTGTTTAATAAAATGATCTGTGATAAGAAATAAATGTCATACAACACCAGAATTCTGGAGTGGGGGTTTATTTTGCCACTGGCTGGCAAGTCAAAACCACACACACTAGATTAAAAACAGGAAGTCCCTGGTTATATACCATCCACAATCTTTAATGCCTGAGTTCGCCCCCTTCTGGCCTACAGCTGAATCACAGGCATTCAGACAAACAAACCTCAATCTAATGGTTTAAAAATGGTTCACTTATGTGTTGTTATGATTCGGACATGTATCTACCCTATTTACTTAACACATAATATAACAAACATTATAAAGGTATTATAATATAAGGAAACCCTAATACTCTGGTGTTGTTTATAATCAGTACTAAGCAATAATAACTATAAATTTCTTCAACCTTATTAAAGCTACAGTTTAGTGTTCTTAGGACTGAAGACTTTCTGGATAAAGGGGTTTTAAACAGCTCTTCTGTCATTTTAGTGTTTTCAACTGAGGAGCTTTGATGTATTTATTTAAAAAAAATTTAGCACAAGAAGTTCGCTGCATAGAAAAAACATAATTTATTTTTAAAGTTTTTTGAACCAAACTGATAAGTTTCTCCACTATAATTGTTTAATGTAAATGCATTGAAACACCTGGTTAAATTTAGAAGATATTGTGATTAACTACAAGCACCTGAAGCTGACTCGGCGAACTCTGTGATCTTAGAGGAAAATCAAAGTCAAACGCAGCAACCCCCCCCCACCCCCACAACACACACACACACACACCCGGCGGCAGTGGTCTGCTTACGCACCCCGCTCGCGTGTGATTAAAACTGATTTTTTGTGAAATTTACTGAWTTGTGATGCTCATTATTCACGTAAATATCTGAAGGGGTTGAGTTGTGGACTCTGAAGACTGCTCTGTTCTGATTGGGTAAAACTTTGACTGTGGTTCTCTTTATTGGGTGAAAGAACTGTCAGTTTAATCCCTAGATGGCTTTAACAAGTTTTTTTTCTCCTGTTTGTTTTTACGATGAACACCCGCTGCTTTTTTCTTGGTTGTCCACCRGACAACTGGGAGGCGGGATCTGGTTGTCCGAAATGAAAATAAGTTGTCTCGGACAACCTAAACAATGKTTATGTCGACCCCTGGTTTATATCGCGGTATAAAGTATCATAAAAAGCAAAGATAATGTAATTTTTAGAGCATTTATTTTGCAGAAAACTGCAATCATAATCAAACYCAGCATTTTGTTTTCATTTCTGTAGTGCAAATGAACATAACAGAAGTACAAAAGAATGTTTTTTTATATATATTGCAAAATGGTTTTAACAACAAAAACATTTTTCAAATTTTCAACAATATCAAAATAAAGTGGATGTTATAACCAGTACTTCAAGTAAAATTAGTCATTTAGATAAAAAAAAAACATTCTAAGTTGGCATAAGTTGTTAAAATGTTACAGTGTGACAGGACTTTAAGCTGCACATAGCCCTAGTCATAAAACTATTTCAGATAACTTGAATGTAAGTGTGGTGAAGCTAAATAAATGTAATAGCTGCCTGCCATACAATGAGCTTCTGCCTGCTGAACTTAGCTGCTGCTCTGCGGCGCTCTCATCTTCGTCATCAGAGCAGAAGCCGACTGTTACATTAGCAAGATGGATTTATGACTGAACGAACGTCCACGTCTTTTTTAATCATCTCTGTGGGTAAAAATACATAAAAAAACAAGGTTTTCTCCGACAACTTGYATGTGAAAAACTTCGGTTGTTAAAGCTTCGCTCTACGTGACGTACAGCGGGAGAGTGGGAGGAAGTGATCCCGCGACACGACGTAACTTTTGAGGATTTATTCTCTCTATACGTGTTTTAAAACGATATATTTCTTCGTTTAATTTAAAACTCCTCCTGCTCAGTGGTCTCTGCACTCACAGCCCTGCTGACACAGGTGCGATGACGTAACTGACAACAGGACGGTAGAGGGTAAATTTCTACCGTAGGCCAACTTCATACCGTTTCAACTGTCCGTCTATCGCATATACCGCACAGTTCTAGTCTAATTCAAATAATTCAGTTGTCTACATTTACGACTATTGTGCAAACTTGTTTTTTTTCTTTTATTTTACATGTTCAGGTGCAGCAGTGTCACCAACTTCTGTCTGTGTTTCAAGTTAAATCTGCTTTATATGATGTGTTTTTGGATCTGCTGGAAGTTTATTTTTTATTTATCAACTGAATATGCATTTATGCCAGCCCTTTATTTTTTTCTGCCCCCCTTTTTTTTAAGGTTTGACTTGCAGGAATTGGAGCAGCTTTGYCATCTCCAGCAAGAGACGGCAAAAGATGTGGGAAGCAAGGACCTTGACGTGAACCAGGAGGAAAACGACTACAACCAAACAGACCAGACATTCATGGAGCTGCTTCAGTCGATGTGGAATGGAGAGGATGACGATGCAACAGACTCAGACGGAGGTGAAGTAGGCGGCAGACAGATGGAGGAGGACCAAAGACCTGATGAGGCCACCTCAGGTGACAGAGATCTTTGTGAGGAACAAGTGAATGAAGAAGAGCTGGAGGAAATCTATGAGTTTGCTGCCACTCAGAAGAAGAAAAAGGAGCAAGACAGTGAGGAGGAAGAGGAGGATGAGAGGATGGATGTGGAACAAAGTGGAGGCGCAGAGTTTACCACACTGACTGAACCTAAAGAAGGTGACAAACCAGATCCTGACTTGGACCGCAACTACAGATGTCTGTTTTCAGAGTCATGGGAAGGAGATAATTCCTCCTTAACCTCAAAACATGGCACGCCTAAAACACGCCCTCCTCAGTCCAAACACCAGTCTCCCCAGAAACCATCATCCAAACCATCTAACAGGACTTTACTTCAATCTTCAGAAAGTTTATTAGACGACCTTTCAGTCCGCCCTCCACACGTTCCGTCCAACCTGCCTGTCCCAGGACTGTCTCCTGGTCAAGGAAGGGATCAGGAGGGTGGTAAAGCTAAAAGGAAATATTCTGTTAAATCCAGAGTTCCTGCAAAGCAACAAGTTCCTCAGAATATTTCCATCTCTCCTCCTGATTTGTCAAAGCAACAGGAGCCTGAGCTCATAGTTCTGTCTGACTCAAGTGAGGAGATGGAGATTAATGCTGCTGTTCTCAAAYCCTGCAGGCTTTTGGTTAATTCTTCCTCCACCCAGAACCTGCAGATCTACACGGAGATCAAATCCAGGCAGGACCCAACACCCAGCCAGAATAAAGAGCCCRGTAATTTGGAGTCAGATCCCAACGATCCCCTGGACTGTTCTCCTGAGGTTTCCTGGCTGATCCCCTCCACTCCTCTTCAGTCTGACAGAAACACGAGGTCCAGCTCCGCTCAGACCAAAAGCAGCATGTGCAGAACACAACTTTTCCCTAAAGCTGAACCTTCACCACCCTCATCTTCGCTTTTCTCCTCTCCAGCTTTAACTTGTAATAAYGAGCTGCACACCTTCAGCAAACCATCTAACGTTTCGGCATGTGCAACCAGGAAAGCAAACACATCACCTGTCAGTAGCTCAGGTCTAAAAGCATCTCACAAGAACAGTTGTGATGTGAAGAATAGAAACGTTTTTGYAGTTAATTCATCACCGCTGCCAAGCCTGACAGCTTTCTCCAAGCAAGATGCTCCTCCTCAGCTGCAGCACCAACCGTACAGCAGCACTCCTTCACATCTCCACCAGCAGCCCCCCGTCCTTCATCCTGCCTCCCCCCTCCACACTGACACCCACAAACAGGATTCAAGTCAACAAAGAGAGAGMGCGCCTTCAGATAACATGGAGCAGACAGAATTAGGGAGCCTTCATCTTTCCCCTTCAGATCCACCCTCTTCTTCCTCTCACAATGGGGGTCTGCAGTCCAAGAGGCAGAGGAAGTCTTCTAGCCGGAGTTATCGTTCTGTTGAGTCCAGCAGTGAGGAGAGCACACAGGATGATCTCAAGATCAAGGACTGCCTTAATGAAGAGGCAAKCAGTTTTCAGCAGAGCTTCATGGACGAGCCTCCCATAGCTTTCAATGACTCGTGGGTTCTCGATGCCTACACAGAGACCAATGCAGAGACCAGTCCAGGCTGCTTCAGTCTGAGGCTTGAAGACRGTGGAGGATCAAACCTGCAGAAGAGCCGCTCGGGGCAACAAGAAACAACCAGGTCCTCCTCGTCCATCTCCAGCCCAACGTCTACTGACAGGGTTCAGACCAACCGAGGAGGTTCAACTGCCTCTCCTCCACCTCAGTGCCACATCTCACAACTATCCAAAAACCTGCACCTCTCACCACCGGAACCCAACACACGGACCACCACAGAGGGTGACACTGGAGTCCTGGACTCCAAAATATGGGATACCTGGGTAGAAGATGAAGAAGACGGGAGCCTTCCTCTCGCTCAGAGGGTATCTGCTCAGCTCAAAACCCCAGGTAAGAAGTTTAACCTTAACTGCTTCGTACTTGGATACACGTGAAGGTCATGACACAATACTTGGTAAAAATTTATTTATTTATATTTTGCTCTGTCTTTAGGGGACACATTGTATGTTTTTTTTTATTTTATTAATTTTGATTGTCCCTCAGTGGGGAAGTTAATTCTCTGCATATTTCCCATCGCACAAAGGACACACAGGGGAGCAGCTGAAAGGTTATGGCTTCAGCAAGGTCCATCTGAACTGCCGAAATCATCTCCCATAGTCACGGTTACATGATGAAAATCGCGTCATTCAGTCTTCTATCTCATCTGGTGATTGGTCAGAAGTTTGTGGTTGTTTTCATGCTGAAAGCGCTTGGATGCTGCATTTTGCTTCAACCACTCGCTTCCAAAAATATGGAAAAAAACAAAACAAAACACTCACTTCCAGGATCCAACTGTTGTACCTGGAAGCAGACATTTATAAAGATAGTCAAACAACCAAAAACTCATTGGGCCTCATGCAAGAACATGTTCGTATTCTTCTCCTAAATTTCTCTTACTTTTGATCGTACAAAGGGTTCGTACGAACATGTCACGTCAGATTCAACAAACTCTTCTATCTTCAGGAAAAGTGTGTAAATGAGAGGCGTAAACTGATGAATGTGTATCAGCTGCTTGCGCATGAGGAGGGGTGATTAGCATAATTACCACCCCAGAAACACCATACACAAGGCTATGTTTCCTGCCCCACATACCAGGAAGTGTCCATTCATAAGTGACATCGCAAAGTAAAAAGAAAAACTTCATGAGTTCAGAGATTGAGGTCCTGCTATCAGAGATCCAGAAAAGAAAATCAGTCTTTTTAGCAGCGTCAGCTGTGGAATTAAAGAAATAAAATGACTGCTGTTAATGTCGTGTCTCCTGTGGGTCGTATACAGACAGAAATAAAAATCTAAATCATATTCATCTCTCTGTAGTCCTGCTCCGGTTTTTCTTTGGTCAAATATTTTTAATTTAAGTGTTAACAACTGTGTTACATAGTTTGCATTTATTCAGAAGAAGAGCAGTCGCGCATCGCTACCCTACCCTAAACGTCTCCCCCCTCCCAACTGTTGCAAGTGTCAGATGTGGTTCTGAAAAAAAAGCATTTTAAAATGTCTCCAAACTTCAATTAATGCATAATTTAAGTTGGTTTGTAGTTTGAGATCTTCATATTAATTTTGTAGTTTTATACAACAGCATTAATAGCCAATTTAATTTAATCCAACCAGTTTATGTCATTAGTCTACATTATTACATTTAAAAGTACAATTATAATTCCAATTCAAACAGAATGACCAATTGTCAACATAATTATGGAGTGTGATTTATTTTCAACTCAAAGTATTTTCAAACTAATGAAATATAGAGTTATTAATGAGGGGATAACAGCCGACTGACTGCTTGTATACAACCACTCGTGAATTTTGTTTGTATCTGAAAAAATCTTACAATACAAGAAAACTGGTGAATGCCACAAATTCTCTTAAATCACTCGTACGCACAACTTAAGAACAAATCTGTKCGTAYGAACGGTTCTTGCAGGAATCCTTCTGCAGAAAAGTGTGGAGCTTTAACCAGAACAGATTTGTAGACAAACAAACAAAACAAAACAAAAAAAAACATAGTTTTGTTTTTTTCACTGACTGTAGACTTTAGCAGGAAGGAACCCTGTGCGGTGATGTGGATCGCAGTAGGAGGGGTTTCCCAGGAGCTCGGTGTGTCTCAGGAGCTATGAAAGATCGTCGAC